CTCAAGAATTTGAAAAATGGTATATTTAAAGATTAGAAAAATCAAATTTTGAATTACTTCATAATTATTGATAAAAAAGGGGGTGAGCATGCTTTGCGAATCGCTCTGTATAGTGTCCTGCATCGGAGMCTAGCATCGATTTTGTCCGGATGTGCACGCGTTGCGTGCTGATCTGGCGTGGCGGATCCTGCAATTCCAAGTCGTCCGTTTCCGGACCCACGTAGTGCGGCGTGTGGGTACCGTGTGAGGCGCATACATGAAATCGTAGTCCGTGTATATACTGCTGATCGCCTTCCACCCTAATTTTTCCACGGTTTCGGGAAAACGCGACGAAATCGTCCGGAAAACTGTGGCTGCAACTGAAACTCGGACCCGGCTGCGATGAAAAACTGCACCCGTTTCGAATATTATCGCTCTCCACGTCTCATGTACRCCTACTTCCGCCGCCGGTACGCACGACGCGTCTAATGCGATCAATTTGTTTACTTCCGGACCAACCTCTGTCGTACATATTATGTATTATTGTCCGCTGCGGAGACTCGCATCGATTTTGTCCAAATGTATAACTGTCTCGTAAGAGTGGTATAGAGCGCCATCGATCCAATGGTGCGCGCAGGTGAAGGGGGGGGGGTTGCACACGATCTATATAGATTGCGTAAAATGAGAGCGAAACATTGCAACAACATTATTATCGTGACGTTGCGATTGCGATGACCTCATGTGTACCGTCGTCGTCAACGCGGACGGCTATTATAATTGATCGTGTTTCACTGCGATGATAATAAAATTGCAATATAATAATACTATTCCAAACATTGTGTTACAGGTGAAATCGCACTGTTACTCGACCGTCCGCGAGCAGCGACCGTCGTTGCCAATGGGCCGCTGAAGTGTGTGAAACTCGATCGGGCCAGGTAATGTACAACGATATAACACTACATAACTAAGCCATTTATTATTTTACCGGTAGTTCCGGCAAAAGCCATTATTTCCGTGTACCGGACATCTGGCTGCTGTTAAACGCCCCCCCCTCCCCGTGCGTATATTATTATACCTACGCTTAGTGCGCCGCAGACCATCTCATCTGAAAAAGCTTAAAAGTCTGCCTGGAACTCTAATCTCTCCGAGTGATGCGATATTATTTCTGACTCCATTGTGCGTTCAAGGTATAATATATAGACTTGCATAATTACAATAGGACTCCAAATGTTTCAGTTTCTGAATAATACCCATATATATATATATATATATATTATATTGTACGCAATATATGCAAATACCTATTATACGCAATACATGTGGGGCATGACTCTACGCTGCATTATTTCGAAGGAAATTATTTGGCACGCTGCTGCTGGAGTAGAGGTACATTTATCGTTCTAATGGCCCAATTTAAGACAGTTTTGAGTCTAAAATACTTGGAGATAAAAACTTTCTTAAGCATAATGCAAATTCGAGTAAAACAATTTWAAAAAAAAGTAATCAACTCTGTTTTAAGAATGAACGACGTCTTTTAAAATGTTGTTAGAAAAATTAATACGATTCACTTTTAATTTTTTTTTTTACCCAACACCAAAKAATCAAACATTTGGGTCGGCTAACCTWTTACAAACAAGTTAATATTATTATTTTTATTTTTCATGTATTTCAAATGTTTTAATTCCCTCATATTATGCTTTTGTAGATTACCAACATGTAATCACATACGTAATTGCATTTTTCGTGCATAGTGCACAGTTATAGTATTCCTCGAGTTCGCTTACCTTATGGACTTCTCCTGAGAGGAWAAATTAATAAAATGTACACAAACCATATAATATGTACACTTTTCTTCGAATTATGTTTTGCTAAAAGCTTTTTACTCCAAAATAGAACACAGTCTTGGCTCTGAGAATTGTATACGCGCTTTCTTCCATTGTGCCATTGTGAACATTTCTTTTAAGTCTGGTTCAAAGATTTTTTAACCGTACCTACAAAACAATTTATATTCYATCATCCCCTTAAAATAATATATTATTTTGTTCGGAAGTTGACTATAACCCATTGCGTATATTTATGTGTATAAGTAAAAGTGCTACAGATTTCCCATATTGTAATTATAAACTGCATAATATTAAACAGTGTAGGCACTACGCAACATACGAATATAATACTATACAGGGTATAGTAGGGTCCAGCGAGGATTTACCCATTGCGATATATCGCGAAATAATGGTGATATCCAAATTCTRGTTTTGTAATAAGAMTCACGGGGATAAGAATTACATTTATTTCATATTTTAATTGATTTTAATGATTTGGTGAAAAAGTAAAAAATATATTTTTTTATTTAATTACTCGTATTTCCAAAAAAAAAAAAAAAAATTAAAGACAACCATTTTGCAGAGTTTATTTTTCTGAAGACATTGACGTTTCAAAATTTTATTTTCATTAATTTCCTGATTTTTAATATATTTTTTAGTTTCGAGAAAAATTGTGAATTATTTWATACCGTAATGTTATCAAACWTGTGACCCGCCGCGCCGCGCGCATTCCCATACGGCCGGCCGAATACCTTCTGTGTTCCTAATATTTATAAATTATAATCATATTTTATTTCTTCAAAACTAGAAAAAAATATTAAAAATCAGGAAATTAATGAAAATATATTTTTTACATTTTTTACAAAAACATTAAAATAAATTTAAAAATGAAATAATTGTAGCTGTTATCCTTGTGAATATTATTATAAAACTAGAATTTTTATRTCTCCATTATTTCGTGAGATATCGCAATGGGTAAATCCTCGCGGGACACCCTATAATATGTACTGTATGTGCTTTGGGAAACTATGAGTAAATAAAACTGCATGTCCATATTCTGCGATGAATGTATATTTCTGCCGCACYATAGTTGAAATATAAGTTTTAAGCCGATGTCTTATTGTAGGTAAATGCCCCCAAAATTGACTTTTAAATGACAATTTACTTACTGCAGCAGTAGTCATCTCCAATATAGTTTTCTTCGAGTCACGAATACGACGAATCGACCAAAAAATTAATGATGATAATAATATCTACGCAAATGTTAATTACGCCCGAATCAAAATCGGATGTAGGTACATTAGACTTTGTGGTACAAAATGTGTATGCACTAAGGGTTTGATTAATGTTACATGGATGTTGTCCCGGGACAACGACCCTGCAATAACGGTTCGATGATATCCGTGCATTAAAAAATTGTTGGGAAAACCTCGTGGGGATAAAAATTTAAATGTGATCAGCTTAGTGGTAGTAGTAGGATCTCGCGATACCCTTTTTCCGGGACATCCGTAGCATAATAAATTAATATAACRCCCACAATGAGCTGATATATACTATAACTACTACCTAAGTCCTTTGTGCTACAGCACGGACTTAAAACTATGCGTTTATGCTGTTTGTACTATACGCATATTGCGTTACCGCTTTTCTAATTTTAAGCCTTACTCTAAACTAGTTTGAATACTTGAGTTTGATTTCATATTTATTCGTCATACTTGGACGAATTTTTGACTTCAAAGTAAAAGTTTCGTTGAGCTCACTTATAGCGTACAATTTAGATGTATTGCGCTTAATGTATGTATTTCGGAAACTTTTTTGGTAAATCACTTGTAGCCACATAAGCTGTCGATAAATAAATTCT